GATGATGAAATTATTCCTGCCGCTGACGCTGACTCATTGTATGACAAATGGTGTGGCGAAGGTGCGGCAATTGAATATCACCAAGATCAAATTGGGGAGCACCTTACCCTGATAGTTGCCGGTGCTGGAATTGCCTTTAATTGGATTAAAAGAAGATTCACGGGTGCTACTTTGGAAAAGGCATGTAAAAAGACAATTTCATTCTCCAACATTTTGAACTTTGAAGGATTTGGTAGCTTCGCCGAAATTATTGGAGATGCTATTTCGACTATGCACGAGAAACAAATCGGTCCAAAATCACCTTCTTCTCCTGCCTTGCCTTCAAACACTACCGTTACCCATAACACTCCATCTGGAGTCTCTAATACTTCTAATGCCTCAGCTTCCAAGACTGATTCAAGTGCAAGCTCGACATCTACTTCGAGCTCTCTCCTAGGTGCTCTCATCGGTCTTATTTTCTAATTGGACTAAAACAGGAGAATAAATCTTAATAAAGAGTCTGATACTCATAAATACCACATGAAGACCCATGGCATTGATAAGAACGAATATAATAATATGCATTGAACGGTTATTAACTCTGGTTGGATTTCAGCTTCTTTACAGTAAGTATTCTTGCACTTCACAATAACTTAATCAAAGGTTGCAAAACGATAGACAAGATCTTATTCGTCCTTCAGTGGGAGTTCTGACATTCCCGATAAGGTTATAATTCAATTATGCCAAAAAAAACTAATATACCTGGCCACTACTCGATGCAGGAGGTCTCTCAATTCAGGTAAGAAACTCAAATACTGAACTAAATGTGAAGTGAATTAGAAAGAAAAAGGATGCCATTTCTCCACTATCCTGGTTTCCTCGTCTCCTGTTTGTTGATAGTTTTGCAAGGATATATGTTAGCATGTATCAATCGTAGTCCTGAGTGAAGGCAGAATGATGACAAAGTTAATGAATATCACAAGCGAATGTATTTATAACTCCGTATCACTGTAATAGGCAATTTCTGGAAGTAATCATTTCACCTTATAGATGCAGTGCATATCACGGGTTATTCGGGTGCAAATAGTTCGTAAAGGATTGACTCAGTGCACATTTCATCTATTGTCTAATTCTTTTGGGAAAAGACATATTCTTTCGGCCATTTGCCGAGTATCCATTTACCTAAATAGGAAATTATGTAGCATTGTCACGTGAGAACAGCCTGGTTGCAATCCTAAGTTTCACAATAGACCTGTCAAATGGCCTCCCCGAGAATCTTTATAAGATGGGGTAATCCTGCTCCCCTTCACTTGATTCTTGAATTCTTATCACCACTGTTATTGAGCCATGAGGTTGCATTCGCTTTTTCTCCTCCTTTCTTTGTCTTTCTTCCAGGTGGCTTTAGCTGCCCCAATCAAAAGTTTGATAACTGCTGGTAACATCACCAGACCTGAAGATGATCCTTTCTACACTCCAAAAGAAGGATACGAAAAGCTCAAGCCAGGAGAAGTCATCAACTACAGACAGATCACTCAACCATATGGTATTATTATGTGGGAGGAGAAGATCAAGGCAGCATACCAATTCTTAGTTCGTTCCGAGGACTCCTTCGGTAATCCAAATGCTATTGTTACTACTGTCATGGTTCCTCATAATGCTGACCCATCAAAAAT